TGGTCAATTTAAAGTAATGTTATTTTTTTTAAGTAGGTCAAGCTCCAAGATCAAGGTCACAGGGTCAAAAATCACAGTATATTTGAAAATCAGATGTCACAAATAATGCACACGTGAAACATCAACGTCCTGTTTCAACTCATTCAATAGTTATTATCAAGTTTAAAGTTCTCGTGACAGATGGACAGACTGGCTGACGAATAAGGTTTAATGTTCCCTAAAAAAATAAATACATGTAATTTGAATATGATAAATTGAGAAGTACGAATAATAAAAAAAAATTTAGAAAATATTAGAATATAAATCAGGTTTCCTACATGAGATTTCCTTAAAGACTTATTAATACATATTATTCAAGTACATGCAATACATGTTCGTTGGAGGTTCAAGACGCGGAGACCGGTCATTTCGATGAGAACATATACACAACTGTCTCGTTACGGGGTAGGTGGTGTCATAAAAGGATTAAATTCGCCTGATTCCACCTCTGATTTTTTTTAAGTCTGTCTTTGCGCTGCTAGTGATTTATATTGTTTAAACAGAATTTAATTTTATGAAAAGAATTATTTTTAATGCTTATTTTTGACATATGCTTAAATTATTTACCTATCAATTTGAGCTTAAATAGTAAAAAGGAGTTTGTCACTCAGTATTTATCTAAGGAATTAGTGTCAATCCTCTACATCAAAGAGCATCTGACTTGTATGTATGATATAAATTGTGTAAATGTGTTATTTGAAATTTGAGTGAATCCCGTTTGTTGTGTGAGAGAGTCAGTTTTTAGATCCGCCGTGGACGATCCCGGACGTGAACATTAGATGTACTGGACATTCCGTCATCAAGAAAATATAGTTTTACTCTGGACTATTCCGAGTAACCAAAACGTTTGTGTGTGTGTCGGTGTGTGAGCTTTACTATCTGTCTTTGTTTTCTCATCTTTGCTAGCCAAGGGTTTCTGATACGCTTCTCTCCTTATAAATCCTTGGCATACGGTGAAGTCAAAAGACGGGATTGTTTTCCGTCACGTGATCTCGAATCTATCAGGTACGCACAGATTGTGTCATCGCCAGAAATAAAGACACGTGTTAAAAAAAATTTTCAAGAATAATTTAGAAGCAATAATTGAGTTATGTTTATTTATTATGTATAGAACAAATCTGAAGCTTCAATATAGATTCTTAATCACATATTTAGAAGATATTGGATGACACCATGGCTATTCATAGAATTGAATGTTATCTTACGGATCGTTGTTTACTTGCGTTTTTCATTCCGAGATTAAAGAGTGAAGATGTATCCCGAACGCAAATATCGTCATTTACAAAAAACAATTGCTGATTGGTCGACCTGGTTGTACTGAAATCCAATCAGAACTCTGGAAAAAAATCCCTATTTCCATGAACACCGTAGGCCAAGGGTTTATGAGGAGAGTAGCGTATCAGAAACCCTTGGCTAGCGAAGATGTTGTTTTCTGTGACTTGATTTGATTTATTTTTCAAAATACAAACTTTAACTTTTTATTGCTTGACTTTCGTTTAATACATTTTCATCACAAGTTCAGCTGTGTTACTTTAACCAAATATATTCTATTAAAATAATGATTTCATCTTCTTTGTTAACCTTAAATTCCTTGAAATATAGTGTAAAATCCAGAATGAAAATAATGAATGTTACAGTGTAGAAATTATTAAGTGTCGGAAATTCAATGCAAAATTCCGGAAATCAAATACAGCAAAAACTGGTACCTCCCATTACCCAAAGAAACTAATACATGTAGTACATGTACACACTTCGATGCTCGATTGAACACTCTAATCGGCACAAGTTTTAGAAATTAAAACGTTTATGTATAGGAAAGTTTAGTGACGCATACTAATCTTTTTTTCATTTATTTGACTACCTGCGAATAAAAAAAATGTCACGTATGCCTATTGGTTAACATTATAATAGGTTATGGATTAATCATGGATTTCAACACCAGTCCTGACCTGTACGTACTAGCTGAACAAACTAACCAATTGACATTCTCGACTCTGAAAGAAAACATTGTATCATTTGAGGGAAGGGGGGTTACGTATTGCGATGAGAGGAAATTTGATCATCTCTTTTAGTCCAATAAACACGAAAGAATGGCTTGGAATATTTGTATGCAACTACATTGCATTTGTTAAAAAAATTTCTAATTATTCATTTTTTTTCTCTCGTATTCTGAAAGCTCGGAATGTATATATTTTGGGGGCTCCTCCGTGTAAAACAGCATGTACTTAGTTACAATCATGTACCCGTAAAATCGTGTCAAAGTGATATTCTTTTTATTCGAGGAAATAAAAGAAATACATTCGGTACAATACAATTATAAGTTATGTATCAATTCAAGCAAAACTCAAAGTTGCTTCATTTAATTTTCGATTTTCATGAGTATTGGAAACGTCACTTCCACTTACAATTTACTGTGCGCATTTGCCATGTTTATTTGTATTTGCTAATTTAAACAACATCGCAAATTTTTCTGATATAAAGCAATTAGAATAATTTGATATAGGCCTGTATACATGTAACGATTGCAATTACTTCAAAGTGGAGGGGGAGACGGGGCCTAAAAAATCCTCGTACTACATGTGTACCTTTCCAATAATAGAATCATCCGTACAAATCAAAAACAAGTTGCAGTATTGATATCCCCATTTTTTTAAATAACGAGACTATAATTAATGGACTTCACAAGGGTAGAATTTAAGTTTAATTTATGTTCATGTGCAATTAAAATCACTATCAAATTTGGCAGAGTCATCGATAGGTCTTCCTGCTTCACCCTTCAGTATAACCGATGAACTCGTCCATACACTGTAGATACCTCAGCAGATGAGAAAAGCGCGGGTAACGCAGCACATTTCATTCATTTGTCAAATAATAGAATCCGACATTCAACACTTTTAAATCATGTTCAAGAAAACCTTTATATTTGTGTATAGAAATATTCTTACGATTAGCGCAAATGACATATTTTCTTGATCTTAAATCTAGGACTCAAGTAAAAATCAAAGAGCGGTAATGTTGACCTCACTAATGTATACAGGTCAATACGCGATCGATAAACGGGTTTCATAACCATGTGATAACTGTACACACAAAACACGCACACTGTATACACAAAACTTTCAGGCTCCGAGGAAAATTCACGATGCATGAATTGAATGACAGTGAATTATCTTAAGCTCGAATTTTATTTTTTTTAAATAAATAATGCTACATTGAATATAAATACTTAAAAAGTATTTTTCCTCTCTCCCGTCTTGTTCTTTAAACTAAACACAGGGAGAAAGTTGTCTCTGAATAATCTGTATGACATCCAGCTAGAGAATTCGTTAAAAATCTTATTTCAACAAAATTTAACATTCAATTTAGCTAGGTTTATTAGTCTTATCCAATTAATTTCAGTTATACGTGTTATACGCGTACGCATATAGAATTCTTCTTCATTTGCCGTATAAAATTACTTACCTGTACATGGACTATAAAGTTTTCTGCTCATCTAATAACACATGACTTGAACAAAATAACGTTTTCATGAGATCAATAAGATGTTAAAGAACCCATTTCAAATCGATAACCATTATATCAAAATATTTACCGTTTTTAAGTTATAAAGCAAAAACTTTCGAGCGCCCTTGACCCCTAATTTGAGGGGCCAGCCCCTTTTTCATGATGTCAAATGATGGAGCTTAAAATTATGCACAATATTTGTACAACATGTCTTAACAAATTATTTTTAGTTTAGAAGATACATAAGGAAATAGATGTAATTTTTTGCGCTTTTAGGCATTCTTATTTTTGACCCCTATCTAGCACCGTTTTGAGCGCAGAAATCGAAAAAAAAACCGATGTGCACAACTTCAATTCTTCTAGTATTTAAATGCAGTATACATTCTGCTCCAGCTTTTGTCGTTTCTGAGCCTTTGTCTGGAAACAAACAGCACTAAATTTTCATTTAAAGGGAAATAACTCAAAAGCGGAAGGGAATTTTTGAAATGTAAGAAAACATTTAAATTGAGTTTTGTAACGTCCAAAAACTCTGAAAATTTGAGCGAAATCTGTTAAGAAATGAGCGAGTTACGAGGTCTCAAAGTTGGCGTCTAGGAAAAAAAAAAGAATAATAGGAATAATCTTAACCATCAGAATCAGTAAAAGGTCTTCCGCCTGAGCGGAAGACCTTAATAATCTTAACCATCAGAATCAGTAGAAGGTCTTCCGCCTGAGCGGAAGACCTTAATAAAAATGATTCCTTAGAGGGTTGGAACTGTTTTTCATTAGTCATAAAAATGGGATGATCGTTCGCGTACTAATTTTGGTTATCATCAAATGTGCAACTCAATCAAACAGTAACAAGTATATTATTATCTTATGCAATGTACTTTAGCGAAGCAACAGTATAACACTAGTGAAACTGCATTTTTTTTTTACATCAATAACAATATTAATTCACTTAAAACTAGATTCGAAGGAAAATGTCCATAAAGAATATTGCAATAAAAGTGTCATATTTGATTTGATCAGAACAAAAACATGCAGTTTTTGTTCCCCGCTTTCGTTAAAGCAAGGTAAATTAAATCCCATTCGTCTGTCCGTCTGTCTTTCTGTACCATTGTCACTAAACTTTAACCTTGGTCATAACTTTTAAATTCTAAGAGATAGGACTTTCAAAATTCAGATGTACATTACCTATGACAAGATGTTTCCGAACATTATAGGATTTTTAATCCGTGTTACTTACCTGCATGCTTGACCTAAGTTTCAATAAAATTACCTTTGGTGATTACTTGTGAATGACATAATTATGATAGTGCGTTTATATTTGACACGGTATGCCATTAGAATGGGATCGCACACTTTAAGACACCGAAAGCGCGGGGGCACAATTCTTTAAATTTGCTTGTTTGAATAGTGAAACATGTATTTTAGATATAGGTTATGCACTACAAATAATTGAATATCTTTGGCAGATGTTGTTACATGTAGCACAGATACACTGAAGATATCATCATTTCCAGAATTGGAACCGAAGAAGGGCTCAAAAAACAACAGTATATTAAGAGCAGTAATCATTATTTTTGGAACTGTGCTAATTTTAACTCTATTCTGTTTTTTACTTGTCCATTTTCATAGATTATTTAAACTGAAAAGTGTTTCTGAGGTAAGACAGAATGTTGAGCAGATTTCTGAGACACAAGAAACACCTGTGTATGAGCAAATTAACGAATTAAACATGTTGAGAAATGTGAGGAATGTAGAAAGATGTATAGAGAATTCTGAATTGACAAATGGTTTTGTGTGAATTCTAGTTTATTTATAAAACTTACCTGTACATTATGACAATTAGAGAAAAGTAAAGGTTTATTAAAGACGAAAAAGGTTCAGAGTAACAGAACTTTCCAATCAAGTTACTTCAGGTTTTTTTTTATTTATTTATTTTTTTTACAGGAAACGTAGCTCAAATGCTTTGCATGTCATTATCTTTTTATTTGAAAATTATTTGAATATCCTGTAAAAAAAATATACACTTGTATAAATATTTTTTCATGCGAATGTTTCATGTGAAAAACTTTGTACGATATTCACTTATTTTTTTATATCTTTCATGTGAGGGTTTCTTTGTAAAAGAGTCGTGTTATGCTCTTTATGAAGAGTATGTCAAAAATCTCGTTTGTCGTTTTTTTTTTTTCAGGCTAACAATTCACGCTAAATTCATGTGAAATTTATGTAAGCCACTTTTGCCTATATACAGATCATAATAACAATATACATGTATTACAGATATAACCTAGTTTTTCTACAGATATACATGTAACAAATTTTAGAGTGCAAATTAAATCGACAATTTTCTTTTAAACTCAGGGGACATAAAGGGAAAGATTAAATAAACTTCCTTCCAAAACAATTATAGAAAGTGATGCAAAGGGAAGCATATCTAAAACAACTTTTGAAAAATATTCAATAATCTGTATGACATTGCTTTTTGACCTTTGGGATCACCAACGGGAACAAAAAAAAAAATACTTCAATCGAAGTGTATTTAATAAAATTTTAGACGTACATGTACGATCCTTCACTTCAATCTGAGAGCTGAATTAATCACATGCACTAGGCTCAAATTATCAAACTAAGTTATCTTTTTGTACTTCCGTGTGGTTAAATTGTATTTAAACTCTTTTAAGCATTTTTGGCCAAAATGATAGAATAAAATTTGAAATTCAAAAAATGCTATGTATCCATTTGTACCTAATTCGTCGATGTTTAGATGCTGGGAGCATGACTTTTACAAATTTGAGAAGGTAAATGTACATGTACAAAGAAAAGATTCAATTATTAAACAGGCCATCGTATCTTTACATAATTATGTAGCTTTTTGTTTTCTCTCTCTCTCTCCTTTTCTTTTGTTTATTTGTTGTTTTTTTTTTTATGGCTGATTTTTTTTTTATTTGGGGAAGCGATGTATGTTTAATCTATGGCATAAATTCCTAGAGAACTTTTTGGTATCCAGCCCTAGGCCTTGTGTGGCATGAGCTTAAAGTAACTAAAGAAAAAAAAATATGACAGTGATCACGATTTGCATAAGCAAAAAAGTATAAAGTCGTAAAGTCTGGAATACGCTCACACATTCCTACAGCATAAAAACGTTACAAAATATAATGATGACTGATAAAATAAAAATCAACTGAGAAATTTGATTTTTTTTTCTCGAAGCAAAATCTTGTGAATTGCTCTGAAGTAGACTTTTATCCATGACCACGCCGCATTCTTTAAACAATGTAGCTTTACCGACATTCAAATATAATTGAATGTCTGAACAGTGGGTGAGGGCACCGAATTTTTGCAAGCTCTCCGTCTAGTCTCTTCAAGACCCTTTAAAAAAGAACTACAAAACGTTGATCATATGCACGTATTTCTAACCGAATCTTAATAAAAAAAAAATTTCAATCACAACTTTTCCACTAATAATAATAAATCCCATAATATGAAATGCCTTTCCGCAGCTTGTTTTTGTTGCTTTACCCACTAGAGAAAACATGAGAAATGAGTTGAGTGAAAACATGTCATTTATTAACTAGATAAATGACGCAAGTGAACAAAAGCACATAAATATACAATATTACATACAATCTTGTAAATTATAGCTGGGATAAGGACAAATAATGAATAGTTTCAACTTAGATATAATATATTGCGACTTATTGCTTATCCTAGCTATTGTTATATAATGATGACCAAGTTTGTGTAACAAGAAGGTGGCGTAAACCAAGAGGCCACACAGCATGCTTAATGCTTGCATAAGGCATGCCGCGCCCCGATCTTAACAAGAGTTCGATCCCGATGTTAAAACAATAAATCGAGAACAACTGTAAATTTTATCTTTGTCAAACAATGTAAAAAAATTGTATATAAAATATTTTATGAAACATAAAATTTTATTTCTAGATTAAGTAAATATACCCTTTTCTATTATGACCTGCCTACTTTGACTGATAGTACTTTCATAGCAAAATTTTATCTAAGATTGTCCTATACCTTTGTCAATTTGAAAAAAAAATCGGGCTCTTTGGATACATGTACCCATAATGGCTGAGACTTAACATCTATTCTGGATTTATAAGGAAGAATTCTTTAATTAGTAAAATAGATCTGATGGTACACCTCTGTAGTACACATCTCTTTTCCAAAGTCCCCCCCCCCCTCATCCTCCACATGAAAACCCTAAATACAATCCTGTATCAAGCTGTATTTGGATTTATTTAACGAACCTTGATGCACGGGCAAATTATTCTACGGACAAGTCTTGTAAGTGGCAAAATCTCTAGCATTATAGTGAGTATCATTCATGAGGACCATTTTATAGTCAACTCAATCTGTTCTATCGTTCATACGTGGATTTCTAGTTTCTGCTGCTAATAGTTTTATAAATTCCTAGTATTTATAATAGTTAACCAAAAACATACTTGGTTCGTTTAAACTATGTGAATTGATATATTTCTATCTCCTATAGTATAAGTCATTTAATTTCAGAAATTTCAGATGCAAAACTGCTTATAAAAAATTTCCATGTAATTAATATTTTGTTTCACTAAAAATATTTTCACAGGCGATAATTGTAAGATAATCTTGTTGATGGATGCATATTATTTTACAAGCACAGAAAACAATTTGATATTGTAATTTAAAAGGCAACGGTTTAGTATGTTTTCTAATAAGAATTAGATAGGTATGAGAGTAAATATTATTTTTATATATACCTCATATTTCTCATATCATTTTGAGATAAAGACAATTGATCTTTCTATTTACTATATCAAATTTTCTTCACTTTATGATTTGACAAATTAATTCATTTCTGAAAAAGTAAACAACACTTCATCCTTAATCCTATTGTTGTTGATAAAATCAAATGTTTGGATTTTTTTAAAAAATGTAAAATTTGGAAAAGAGGGATACCTTACATTATACCCTACATGACTAATTTCTAAACGTAAGAAAAAGCATATCTTATTGCATAGAAAGGCAAAAGGACGTCATTGACCCCCAACTATAATATTTTAAGAAATCAAATCTCCTATATTTTTCAAAAAATAGGGGAGGGGTAATCGATCCATACTTCAGTTCCCCGTGCATCAGATACAGAAAACCATATACTAACTTAATTTAAAATTTATATTCTTGTAAAACGAAGATATAGAACTTGGTCTGCGTGAGTCTCAAGATTTTCACATAACGTAATTAAGACTACCTGGGTAATGCGTTTAGACCAAAGTGAAATACATGTATGCAGTTTCATGGAAAACAGTGTATTACACTTGGAATACCGATATGTCCTGCCTTTTATTTTACTAAAATCAAAAATATTTATTATTAAGATTTATAGCAATGAAATACCGTTCACTGTTATTTACATGGATCAATTGAATTTGGTTGATTTTTTCACAGATGTTCTAGATATATTTTTTTTTTATTTTTGAAACTAACAAAAGTCATTCTCAGAGTGTAAAATAATAATTTAAAAAAAAAACCTACTTTCTTTTATTAAAAAAAAAATAAGAAAATCTTCCCTATAGGGTTCATACTTCATGTAAGAAGTCACTAAATGAGTTGAAATGGGTTGGTGGGTGGGAGCAACATGACCAAAAAAAAAAGAGTTACTTCTAAAGTCAGCATCAGTGTTGTCACCAAGACAGTACTTCTGGTAGAGTCAGCGGCATTGAGCGGCATTTCTCCAAAAGAGACTTTCTGGTAGAGTCAGCGGTATTGAGCGGCATTTGTCCAACACAGACCTTCTGGTAGAGTCAGCGGTATTGAGCGGCATTTGTCCAACACAGACCTTCTGGTAGAGTCAGCGGCATTGAGCGGCATTTCTCCAAGAAAGACCCTCTTGTAGAGACTCTTCCAGAGGTCTGTCTTGGACAAACGCCGCTCAATGCCGCTGACTTTACAAGAAGCACTGTGTTAGACAAATGCCGCTAAATGCCGCTGACTCTAGCTGAAAGTCTGTGTTGGTGATAATACTATCAATGTAATCAGACCAACCTAATATAGTTGAAAAAAAAAACACTGAGATGTTTATGTTGTGATACATATTCTTACTGACAGTCTCCAAAAAATAATTCACGTAACTGGTTTGCATTTTTTAAGCTGAAAAATAATACTTTTTTTTTATACTTGGATTGAATTTCAATAACCATTTTTGAACCATTCATCCACTCACGACTTTTTCTTTTCTTTTGTACAAATAGCTTTCCAACCATTCCAACCATTCTAACATATTACCGGAGATACCATACATATTTAATTTTTGAATAAATCCCCTATGCCAAATTCTATCAAAAGCTTTTGATAAATCACAAGAAAACATATAACAATATTGCTTTCATCAATACTTTTTACAATAGTATGATAAGTTTCTAAAAGTTGATACACAGTTGAGTGACCAGGCAGAAAACCTGCCTTATTTGTAGAACAAATTATTTGTGAGAAAAAAAATTATATACATGTTTGAATGCAACTCTTTCAATTATTTTACATACACAACTCAAAAGAGATACAGGTCTATAATTTGAAATGATTGATGGGGCGTCTTTTTTAAATAATGGAAGGACATGTGCTGGTTTCCAACTTTCAGGATAAACTTTGAATCTAAGAGATTTATTAAACAACAGACAAAGTGGCTTAGCTGTTGATTCTTTACAAGATTTTAACATTTTGTGGCTGATGCAATCAAGGCTCTGTTACAACGC